CCTGGGGCTACCAGCCTGCTGAGCAGGGCAGAAGAGCCCCACGCTGCTCCAGTGGCCAACGGAGGTTAGAGCCTGCCTGTCTTTCAGAGACCTGCGGGTGCATCCCTGAGGCTGGCCACTCGCACAGGGATCTCGCTGGGGAATACAGGATTCGCTGCAGAAGTAAGTGCAGGGGTTGCCCCTGCATCCCCACGTGTGGTGGGTGATGAGACGAGGCACTGCTGTGCCTTGACAAGCGAAGGTGCAAGCTGAGGACCAGTCTGGCGTGGCCAAATTGTAGCCATTTGCTCTGCCCGGGCGTTGTGAGTCAGCTCTTTCAGGCAGGGAAAGCCAAAGTTCAAGGTAGCAGACTCCGAGCAAACACTTGCAAAGAGTGAACTCGTGGCTTTGGGCCTGCCCCATGCTTTCCTGGTAGCGTGCAGACTCCTTGCTGTGTCAGGATCTGTTGTGAAACATGCTTGCTCTAAATAAATGATGCTCTGCTTCAGGCGCTGGTTGCTCCGGGTGCTACTGGGGCTTCTGGAGGTGACAAGAAGACTCGAGACTGCAGCCAGAGGGTGAGATTATGTTCCAGGCAGAGCAGACAGCTTTGGAGCTGTGCACAGAGGCACTGGAAGGGCACTGGCAGCAAGGGCATTTTAGATGGGATCCCTCATACAGGATCCCAGTAGGTAACTGTGTTCACCCTCTATCGCAAACGGCTGGACCGGTCCCACACGCAAGTTAAGAGAACTCCACATCAAGTAGCCAAGATGCTGTTGACCATCCAGGTCCACAACAGCTGCCATGTGCCCTGTGGGAGAGGTGACACCTCTGGGTAAAGAGTGTCATGTAGACATGCTTACAGAGTGAACTTTGAAGCTTCTCTGTGTGGAGCAGCAGAGCTGCTGCCACGGCAGGAGGCCCTGGGCAGCAACCTTCAACCTTCAGGAGGTCAGCCTCGCTCAGCAATGGTGGTCGTGTTGTGAAGAAGCCAAGGAATCCACCATCACCAGGACAGCAGAAGGGAGACCTGGCCTCTGCCATCCCTGCCCGGCCAGGTCACAGCAGCTCGATCTCAGCACACCACAGGCAGGGATGGGAGGCAGCTGCAGGGCAGCACCAAATCTGCTCTGCCATGTTTCCTGCAGGGGTTTTGTCCAAAGGAAGAGTCCGCTGTCCTTGGCACGGAGCTTGCTTCAACATCAGCACAGGCGACATAGAGGACTTTCCTGGGTTGGACAGCTTACCCAGGTTCCAGGTGAGACCTTCATTCTTGCAGCAGCAGAGGAAATCACGGAATCACAGGATGGTTTGGATTGGAAGGGACCTTTAAAGATCACCTAGTCCAATCCCCCTGCTGTGGGCAGGGAGATCTTTCACCAGATCCTGTTGCTCAAACCCCATCCATCCTGACCTTGAACGCTTCCAGGGATGGGGCATCCACAGCTTCTCTGGGCAACCTGTTCCAGTGCCTCACCACCCTCATTGTACAACATTTCTTCCTTATGTCCAATCTAAATCTACCCTCTTTTAGTTTAAAACTATTACCCCTTGTCCTATCGCTACAGACCCTGCTAAAAACCATGTCCCCATCTTTCTTATAAGGCCCCTTTAAGTATTGAAAGGCCTCAATAAGGTCTCCCTGGAGCCTGCTCTTCTCCAGGCTGAACAACCCCAACTCTCTCAGCCTGTCCTCACAGCAGAGGTGCTCCAGCCCTCGGATCATCTCCGTGGCCTCCTCTGGACTCGCTCCAACAGGCCCATGTCCTTCTTGTGCTGAAGACCCCAGAGCTGAAGGCAGTACTGCGGGGGGGGGCTCAACAGAGTGGAGCAGAGGGGCAGAATCCCCTCCCTTGACCTGCTGGTCACACTGCTTGGGATGCAGCCCAGGATACGGTTGGCTTTCTGGGCTGCGAGTGTACATCCCCCAGCCTGTCTTGATACTGCGGGTTGCCCTGACCCAGGTGCAGGACCTTGCACTTGGCCTTGTTGAACCCCATGAGGTTCACGGGGGCCCACTTCTCCAGCCTGTTCTGGTCCCTCTGGATGGCATCCCTTCCCTCTGGAATATCAACTGCACCACTCAGCTTGGTGTCATCTGCAAAATGGCTGTTTGCATTGGGATAAGCATGCTCTTTGAAGGCATGGAGCAAACGTTTTCCAAGCACAGGCGGGGGTGGCCGGTGGAGAGCAGCACCCTCACCCAGCTCTCCTTCCTCCCTACAGCTCCTCTTGCATCCACCCAGGGGCATCAAGACAGCTGGGAACCTGAGGGTGGAGGTATGCAGTCTGGGAGGTCTCTTGAGCAGGAGTGGGGTGGGACTGAGAAATCAGCCGTAAGCCTGAGATAGAAATCAGGTTTTACACTGACCGTTGGTGCAGAGTTGACACGACGCAGGAAACATCCCACAGCCTCAAGCTGGGGCAGGACCTGCCATGGCCTGAGCCGCTTTTGTGGGAGACTTCTTGAGATCGCTGCTCTGTTCGTTAGCTGTTGCGCAGAGGAAGTAATCACCCTCTTCACGCCAGAGGCACTCACTGTCCTGCAAACTGCTGCTGTTCTGTCACCCTCAGGTGAAGATTGAGAAGGAGAAGGTGTACATCCGAGCAAGCAAGCAGGTGAGGGGCCACTGGCATCCCAAAATCAAGGCCCATGCTTTTGCTTTTTGCTCTGCATGTGTGGCGGTGGGGAGGAAGGGGAAGGGGAAGTAGTGCCTGAACAGAAGGATGTGGGAGCATCCAATACGGGTAAACCGAAGGTCCACCTAGCCTGGTCCTGTCTCAAGCAACAGCCCAAAGTTTGTATGGAGGCGCGAGTGGAGCGGGGCAGAGGTGTTGTGTCCCCCTCCTGTCCTGCCTCTGCTCCCCCAGCCTCCCTGCAGCTGCCGGACACCTGAGCTGGGGTGTCCATGGATCCAGGAGGTCTTAACAGGTTTTCGTCCCGAACTTGTCCTATGTTTCCTTAAGCTCATAGCAACTTTTAATTCAGTTGGCCCATGGAAACAGGCCTCTTCCACCAGCCTTTTGGCCTTGTCTGCTGGGTCTGAATGTGGCATGGCGATGACAGAGGTCATCTGTGCTCCCTCTTGAGCCCAGACATCAGCTCCTTTTGCTGGAGGGGAACCTGGTGCCTGGGCAGGGAGGGTTCTCATCCCCCCAGATAGGATCCAGAATGAAGCCGTTCAGACTACTGTCATCTTTCTTGCCATGAGAAGCCTTCTGATGCATGTTTGCATGTACACTTGTGTGAATGCAGTGGCTCAGAACCAGCTGGACCCTTACAGCTCTTGGGTTAGATCCTGAGAGGTCACCTGAATGGTAGCACTTCTACTCCAGCTGATTCGGGTGAGATGTGATGAGAAGGGTTGAGCCTGTTCCCTCTACCAGAAATGGATTTTGGTCTTTGATGGCTGGCAACATGGGGTCTGTGCAGCAGGGCTACAGTGGCATAGGTCCTTGGGTGTGCTCTGGTAGGTTGGACAAGTCCATCAGCTGCTTTGGCTATCAGGGGTATACAAGCTCTGCTCAGGTGCAGGATAAGGTTCCTGATAGGACGTCTGCATTTCCATCACACCTGTTAGCTGCGGAATTGCACAATTACACACCTGGGCTGCTTTTTCTATTTTTTTTTTTTTTCCCAGCTCTGTGTACCTGGATGAATTTGCAGAAGACAATGGGTTTATTTTTCTTTTGTACCTTATAAGGGGCTAGTGTACTGGGTGGTGGAAAGGTATTTGGATGGGCATGGGTTTGGAGTCCTCGTTGGGTACAAAGATGTAGTTGTTCCCTTTCTATCCAAGCTGTTTTATGACAATAGTGTAGTTGTCACCATTCCTGCCTGGCTACCCAGGTTAAAGCTGAGAAAAGATAATGACTTTTCCTCTTATTGTTGGTGGCACAGGCTCTTCAGACACAGAGGAGGACAAAGATGATGGCAAAGTGCATCTCCTTGAGCAACTATAACCTGAGCAGTACCAACGTGCTGATCATCGGTGCAGGTACCAGGTGGCATTTGCTGGGACTGCCGTGTGTCTGCCCTCCCGGATGGGTGTGCGGAGAGCAGGGTGTCTGTGTGGCGTGCACCTTCTGTCATCCTTCCTGCGTCCCTCCCCGTGCAGTGGGTCAGACCAGAGGGTCTTCTCGAGCCTTTTTGTCCTACACACTAATGGTCCAAAGGTGCCCTGTGCCTCTGGTCTGTGGAGCTTTGTAGTTCCCTGTCACAGTCCTTTGTAGTGGGTGCCCTGAAACCTCTTCCCTCTACACCCTCCCCATATACATCAGTAACCCCTGATTTCCACAACTGATAAGTGTAAAGTCCTCTCAGGTGTTCCTGTGATATGGACACACTTTTCCTCTTGGAGCCTGCACATCTCTGTCTCATCCCACTGTCGCTGCCTGCTGTTCCAAAGCTCTCACCTCAAGGTGCTTCTCTGAAGATAAATTCTTCCATCTTCCCAGAAAATATCAAATCCCTACAAGAAATAGCAAAACCACCAAACTATCTTTTCTTATCTCTTCTCACAGCTCCATTTGTAAAATGCATTTTTTCTAGAAATCCTGATGGATTGAATCCCATCTACTGAGTTTGCCTCTTTCAGGAATGGGTTGGACACTAGGCTGGACCGTGTCGTGGTGAAATGGAGGGTGGGAGGAGGACAGAAGCTGTCCAGTGGTGGACCTGGGATTGGGAGGGAACGCCTGCTCCTGGCACATGGGTTGTTCTCACTTGATTACAGCCCCCAGGTCACCAGATCCAGGCTGTGGAAATGGAGAGCACACTGCGATCTCCTGCTCCTGCCGTCTAAGTTGCAGCTTGCAGCCTGAGCAGAGGGGAAAAACAGCCTGGCTGTTTTTTTCCCTTTTCCCTCCCTTGTGCCCTTGCTGCTTATTGACTGAAAGCCAGCGTGTGACACTGCTGCTCCCCGAGGTCAGCTAGGCTGTCCTGGTGTGTGGCAGGGCTGGACAAAATCCTCACCAAAATCCTCAGCAAGGTCACTCCACAGGCAATGTTAACCATTGCTGAAGGAACTTTCTCAGGCTTGCCCAGCTGAATTTACAGGTCTCTTAAAGACCAGGGTCTGCTCTGGTGGACAGGAAAGGAGATTTCAAAGCTGGGGTTGTGAGGAAGAAGTGTTTGGAAGAGACTACCTATCCAGCCCTGCACCAAGGACCAAGATCCAGCCATGCCCAGCAGAGCTGAGGGCAAGTGACCCTGGCCCCTTGCCCATGTGGGGGTCACCCTGGCATCAGTGCACCATCAGTCTTGGCTCAGCATGCTCCAGGCAGCGTGCACGGGATGTCCGTCCATCTGACTCTTCTTCCACTGTTCCCCGCCTCTATCAACAGGGGTGTTTTGTTGACGGACCAAAACATGATACTGTCCAGGTCCATCATCTTTCATTGATATTACAGAAACTGTGGCCCCTACAACATTCATTATTGAGCGAGGCTTCCTTGGTTGAGAAGAGACTGAGGACTTCTCACTGGAGCTCTCAAGTCTCACCAGTTTGGCCAGGGAAGAAAGGACATGCCCATCAGGCTGCCTGGCTGCAGGGGGACAGCATGCCCCAAGGCAGCTTCTTGTTTGGTTTAGCCTCTTTTCTTTGTTTAAAAACAAACAAACAAAGAAATTCTGTGCAAAAACCTCTACAATGCAGCACGCAACCAACACGTCAGCCACAGAGAAGGGAGGATTCCCCGCCCTCCGTGTTCGGCTGTAAATTCACCAGGAGCTGAGTGCACAGAGGGGAGGCTGCAAGACCCTTCCTTGGCTAGAGAAGTGCAAGGGTCTGAACAGCTGCTCATGCCCCTGAGCTTGTGAGAAGCATGTAGGCATTGGCAGCACTCCTCAGGTGTGCTCTTTGTGCGTTTGTGTGAGTTCAGGGACAGATGAGTCCTGCAGAGGATTAATGTCATGCTCCACAGACAGAGGGTCCCTCCTCCTGCCTGGTGCATCCACCCCGGCCGGCTTCCCATGCCAGCTGTTTGACTTGGGAAGGGCTGTGAAGTAAGGCCAGGGCTAGTGGAGATGGTGGTTTTGGAGACAGCCCCGGTGGGGTTTAGGAGCAAAGGGTTCAGACCTTCAAATGCCCCATAGGCACGGCTGCTGCCAGTCTTCCTTCTCCCTTAGGGGCAGCTGGACTGGTCTGTGCCGAGACCTTGCGCCAGGAGGGTTTCTCGGACAGGATTGTGATGTGCACGATGGACAGACACTTGCCCTACGACAGACCAAAGCTCAGTAAGGTTTGTATCACTTTGGGTATGTCACGTTCCTCCCCACATTGTAAAATTTGCCCTAGGACCTTTCCCCACTGTTATTTGTTGCAGCAGCATGTTTCTTCTTCCTTAGTTGTCCTCTCTCTGTTTTTCTTTGAATTTTCTCTTCTGTTGGTGACTGAAATATGAAACACAAAAAAGGAGTTGCTCAGACTCTGAACTAAGAGTACTCCAGCACAGAAACAAGGGCATTCTTCACTATGAGGGTGATGAGGCACTGGAACAGTTGCCCAGAGAAGCTGTGGCTGCCCCATCCCTGGAAGTGTTCAAGGCCAGGTTGGATGGGGCTTTGAGCGACCTGGTCTGGTGGAAGGTGTCCCTGCCCAGGGCAGGGAAGTTGGAACAAGATGATCTTTAAGGTCCCTTCCAACCGAACCATTCTATGACTCATATGATTCTTCGTAGGTCTAGCAATAGCTGTCTTGGCCAGCTCGCAACCTGGATGGATCTTCTTACTATTTTTCCAGATCAAAATCTTTAGGACAAAGAAATGGGGCATGTGAAAAAATTGTATTGTCTACCAGGTTTTTTATTAGTGCATGATTCTTACTGCCCAGTGATGCTCCATGCCATAATTGTTATGATTATGGGTCATCATCACAACTTGGTAACTTGATCGCAGTGCAAAGATCACTTTTTCTGGCACACGTCCTATTTTGCATTCCAATATGTAGACACAAGATGATCTTATAATCACATTTTTTATTACTGATTCCTGAGCCTTACTTGCTATCAGACAGCAACTCAGGTTGGACAGCAGCATTTGATCTTGAAGCTTGGAGATAACGTAAGAACAGTTGGTATATGCATTCCCCTTTGTCAGGGATGCTTATCTGTGGGGGCTGGTACTCTGCAATCACAGCATCTAACTGCTTCCAGTCCCAGTGCAAAGGGCTTGTCAAAGGCAGGCAAATATGCATGTGGCTTTTTGAGAGCATTCAAGCCAGTTCTGTGCTTGGACAAGACCTGCTTGGGGTGAGGAACAGCTGGCTGAAACATGCATCCAAGAGTCACAGAAGTTGTGCTGGGGAGCTCAGAGAAGCTCGCAGTCCCTGTCCCAGCCAGGCAGCTCTCCGAAACACTTATCCCTGCTTTGTGAGTGTTAGACTGCATGTTCCGCTCTCCATTAAAGAGCAAGAACATCTCATGTGCCAGAGATGTTAGGCATGGTTTGTTAAACTTCACCAAACACCTCTGGCTGTAGTTGCTTTTGGAAGGTACACAAAGCCCATGGAAGAGAAGGCAGAATTTTCACAAACAGGCTAGAAAAAAGGGGGATTTGTCTTAATCCTATTGTGAGTGGGACTAACCCTGGAAAGAGTCATCAGAGGAGGAGCACTTAAAGCTGTAAGCAGCAGACCTCCTGAAACTGCAGCACTCCCCCTCCTCTGTCTTGCTGAACGGCTGTTATCTGTCCCAAGGTCCTGCTGGACTGTTCCTTTTTGTCCCCTTTGGACCATGACCTGTTCCCTGGTGTGCTGTAAAATCCCCGTTGCCATCTCCGGAGCACTGAGCAGCAGCAAAGCCTACGGTGGTTGTGCACTGCTCTGCACTGCCGTGGGGGCCACTGCTCCCGAGCCGTGGGGTCAGACATTCCTCTCTGTAAATGCTGGGTGTTTAAAGAATTTGCAAAAAACCCGTATGACCCTGCAGTGGCCTCAAGTCCTAAGATACAGGTCTCTTAGCATAGTGTTATCTGAAATCACGGTAAGGGAGTGTCCTGCAGGGCTCATCCCAGCCCCTGATTGAGCCACCCCCAGGCAGAAGGACCTTGCACATTCATCCCCAGGGGCAGGTGGTGAAGCCCTTGATTCCTGCATCCCTTGTCCCTCTTGGGTCAAGCCCAAGCAGCATGCCTGTGAGGCATGGGTAGACGGTGCCGCTGCTCAGCGCTGTGTGAGGGCTTGGCTGTGGCTTGACTGTGGCATCTGTGTGGCCATGCCCATCCCTGATATGCTGCAGGCAGGGAGGGATGTACTGGAGCATGGAGCAGCCTGCACGCAGGTAACTTGGTGCTCAGCTTGTCCTCAGCCTATATCTGAGCTTGTGTCCACAGAGCTAGGAGGACAGATGAACTCGGGCTCAAATGTGAGCTCAACTCTGAATGTAAACATGATGTAGGTCTCACCCACGTGACCATGGAAGGTTGGGAAGAGGGAGAACCTTCATCTTGCGGCTAAAGATGAGCAGATACGGGCCACATGCCCCTGCTTCAGCTTTTGGGGGAACTTGTGCCGGGTAACTTGGGTGGTTTTGAAAGTGTTGCCCTTGCTGTGTTAATGTTGATTGTTGTTCTTGCTCTTTTAGCTTCCATTTCTCCTGGCAACTGGCTGTTTTCCAAATAATGGGGCTTTTGTTTTGCTCCTATGAACTTGTGTGTGTTATTAGGAGCTGCAGGTACAGCTGCTCTGCAGACACTCAGAAGCACTGGCTGTGGTCCTGCCTTAGCTGGTCAATGCCATCCCCACACCGAGCAGGCAGAGAAGGAACCAAAGCCCAGTCTAGCATCTTGTGATGACTTTTAATTGAACAGGCGTTGATTCCAGACCCTGTAGAGAAACTCTCTTAACCTGTGCCATAAGGACTGACTTCAGACTGCCGTTGTCTTGTGTTGGTAACAGGCATTTCTCCCCTCGCCTGTTTGACCCACAACCATTGACAGAATAATGGCTTTTTTTGCAGTCTATGGATTCCCACCCGGAGCAGATTGCCCTGCGCCCCAAGGAGTTCTTCTGCACCTACGACATCGAAGTCCTGACCGAAATGCAGGTAAGGAGCATCCTGTGCCTGCAGGCCGTCTTCTGCAAATGCTGGTATGCAAAGGCTGTGTTTAGGAAATGTGGCAGCTGTCTCTGTTCTTGGCTTACTGGATGCCGTTGCAGAAATGTTGCGTCTCCCTCGGCTCCCTTTTTTACGCCCCAGAGTGCAGGTTGCCTGTGGTTGTTCAAAACCACAGTTATTGCAATTCCTCCCGTAGCAGGAAGGACACCCTGTGCAAACTCCATGGTGACCATCATTTCTTACCTGTCATTTGCGAGCTTCCTCACGTGGATCTGGGGTGACCGTTTGGCCTCTGATTAGGACAATCAGCCTGCAAGCAGTGCAGACAGTGATGACTTAAACAGTTCTCTGCATTATTTTATTTATACTGGCAGATCTTCAAGGATTTGTGAAAAGGCAACTAGGAATATTTAAGGCCTGGGTTGGCTAAGCTGTGGACAGAAATACAGGGGACTAAAACCTAACAGACAAGTTGGTTAGGCTGGGTGCTCAGTGAACATCTGGGATTTCATCCCTTAACATTATTTAGGAATGATTTCAGGTTGCAGCTGTGGATATCAAGAACAAGATAGCCGTGTTCAAAGATGGATTTAAGATGGAATACAACAAGTTGCTGATAGCGACTGGAAACACGTAAGCTACGAATAAACATTTTAAAGGTCAAGAGAAACTGTTTTATCTGAGAATGTGAGGAGCTTCTGCCTGGGGATAAGGTGTCAAATATGGTGATTGAATTGGGACACTGAATTTGTTTGCAAGAGTGTTTGCAGAAAAGGCAAGGAACACCTACTAGATATGTCTGTATATATCATATATGTCTCTATCTGTATAAAGCTGTGCTGGGTGTGTCTGCTCAGCCAAAGCTGAGAAGCCTCTGTGTCACCCAAGAGTCATCCAGAAAGCAGGTAATGGGACAGAGGCAGGACTTGCTACCTGCAGTGTGTCATGGTCAGAGTCAAGGTCAAAAGAGTGTTAACAAAAAGTACCCACTGAAGCAGCTGGGGTGTGTGGATTGTTTGATGTTGAAGAAACTGATAGAAAACTGAGATTTGAAAAGGTGGGGGGATTTACCAGCAGCACCCTAATGCTGTGCTGTTCCCTGGGGGCTGGCTCGAGGGTGTGTGGGAGAGACTCAGGAGATTCCCACTGATTTCATCATGTTAGAAGATTAAAATTAATGCCCAGGACCTTGAACATATTTTGTTTAACAAAAGCCTCCAAAATGGAAGTTTCTTGAATTCTTTTTTTAGAGGTAATTTTTGCCACATTGCTGCTCTTTTCACCCCTCAATAATACTCAACCCTGACAATCAGATAATTCATCCACCTGAATTTCCATCTTTCATTTCCTGCCAACCTTTAAGATCTTTCTCAACAACGAAAGTTTAATGCTTCTCTGTTGCAGCCTGAATTAGGTGTTGCTGTTGCCGAAGCCTAACAGACCCCTTTGCATGGCTTGCCCCCAGGAGGGAAGTTTTCAATACTGAAACCTGGTCCACCCATAGGGAAAGGCAGTAGCGATGTGCCTGTCCTGCTCCACACAGCTGCTGTTGGGGTGCAGAGCATCATCTGGGACTGGCATCATCCCTAGTGCCCTGGAAGTAGTGGGTCAATTTGTTTTCAATAGGGTATTTGTCAAAATTGGCACTTTAAGATAAAAATAGGGCATCCTGGCTCCCTTTCCTTGTGCTCCTAACACCAAGGCACAAAATGAAGTAGGAGAAATGCAGCCCCTGCAAAATTTATTGTCCGGGGAAGGGATGCTGTAGAACAGCCAGGCAGGGACTCCCGTTGCAACCCTGTGTGCCACCGATAACAGCAACAGCCTCACTGAGTGCCAGCGGCTGGTGCTGCGGTGTGCAGTGCTGCAACCAAAATGCCATCTGCACCAGCCACCTAATTAGGTTCAAAAGAGGATTAAGCTTTTGGCAATAATTTCAAAATCCTTATGCACAAGCTCCAGGTACACTGGCTAAATGTTTTTAAGGTACCTAAATTATTTAGGGTCATCTGTGGCATTTCCAGATGCAAGTCAGGTATGCAGGGGCCAGATATTTAAAAATATCTAGGCTCCAGTAAGTGCAGGGGGAGGGACACGATTAAACTGCTACAGCATCAGCAGCATGCCCCTAGGAACAGAGAGTGGAGCCTGCATCTGCAGAGGCTTATGAAGCTTTCAGTATCTGGCTCCAAAGCGTCTGCTGGAGGGCAGAGTGAGTTTTCTGTGTCCCATTAAGCTTTTGAAAATTTTACAACATGTCGGCAGTTAAACACCAGTCCTGCACTGTGCTGCATTGCCCCAGAAGGGAGCTCACCCAGCCCCACAGGTACACCAGTCCGTGGATGGAGTCGGGGGCAGCTGCCGAGCAGCCCTTGCTGCGCTGGTGTTGGTGGTTGTGCCCTGGCCATTGTCCACTAGCATTTGGGTTTTTCTGTGTTATGTCTCCAGCCCAGAGAAAGGTGAAAAAAGGAAAGGCTGAGATGCTGCTGGAGTGCCAGAAAGGGGGTCTGCAGTCCCGATTGCCACCATGGGGTCAAGAAAAGCACCTTTGTCACCCTCAATGTGTATTTTTCAGGCCCAAAGCTCTCAGCTGCAAAGGTAAGGAGGTGGAAAATGTTTTCAACATCCGGACGCCTGAAGATGCCAACCGTGTTGTGAAGTTGGCCACAAGCAAGAATGTGGTTATCGTGGGAGCATCATTCCTGGGTGAGCGCTCATTCTGCAGGTGTCCACATAGCTGTCCACATCTTCCTGCAGATGGTCCCAGTCCCTCACCCAGTTTGTCACTGCCCAGT